AGATGAGCCGAGCGCGCGCGGACGAGGAGGAGTACTGGCACAGCTCCAAATTCCGCGCCTTCACCTTCGACGACGAGGATGACGAGCTGTCCCAGGTAGGGCTCCCCGCCCGCGGCCCTCCGAGCGGCCTCGATGCGGGCGAGGGCGACGGGTGCTTCCCTGGGGCCGCTGCTCCGTGCCGGGGGGCCGGGAGCCCGCTCCCCACGGCTCCGCAGCCCGTGTGAATCCCTCTGTAAGCTGCGGTGCTCTCTCCTTCCCCTGTGTGTCCAGCTGCAGCACCCGCGTTTTTGAGCTGTTCGTGTCTCTGCGGGTGCCTCTGGCCCGCAGGGAGAAGGGAAGCAGCCTCTGGCTGTTGGGCCCCCATGTACCGCCTGTATTCACGTATTCAGCAGCACCGAAAGCCTCCTGGGGGAGGGCGCTGGAGGAGCCCGGTACAGCGACCTGAGGGAGGTTGTTTGAGGAGGTCATGGGAAACAAAGCGCTCCATTGCAATGCTAGTGGTTCTTAATGCAAACTTTTTCATTGTTTCTAGCTAAAGGAGACCAAGCGGGCAGTGAACAGCCTTCGGGATATTGTTGACGATGATGACGATGACCTCGAGAAGGTCAGCTGGAGTGGGGAACCCGTGGGAAGTAAGTGCAGAAGGATCCCAAGCTAACTTTGGAGGCAATAGGGTTCAAATTGCCATTTAACCTATGTTCTTTATCTGAACTCAGGAGTACTGCAGACTATCTAATCCTGTCCTCCTTTTGCTTCAGATCAAATTCTGAGCCGTTGGTATTACCTGTGTGGATCTGCTCCAAAGAGAGGAAGCAGAGGGAGATGGCATAACTAGAAAGACTGCAGACAAGTGGAGGGATTTTACTATGTTTTTTTCCAATATGTATTTTAGCCTAGAGCAGATATTTGAGAATTAAAAACATTTTGGCTTGCATCCTGTTCAGTTGACTCTCATGTTTGTGGGTGATACCTGTTTCACACTGCTGCCTGAAATGACACTATCTCAGGTTCTCTGTGTTTGGCCTTGCAACAGTTTAAGGAGATATTTCAGCATCTGGTGTGTGTTTAAGGACAGACTCCTATGCCTGAAATTTGAAGAGAATTTAAAGCGTTAAACAAATCAATTTCTGGCAAAGGTGGGGGCAGGCTCACAGTCCTCCCGCAATTGCTGTCTGCTGCTTTTTGGACCTATTGCTGCCATAAAGAACAGTTCGGGCCTTTGCTAGCCATTGGGCACCTTTCAAACTGCGGAGGCTTAAATTTGAATCACCCAGAGGACTTTCAAAGTGCCTAATCTTCCTGCCCTATGCTGCAGCTCTTGGCTGTGGTTCAGGTCTGTTCCCTTCTGGTTCAGGATCTCTATCCATTGCCTGTTCTTTTGTTACACTTCCCTGTCCTAAAAGTGTGCATTGTCCAGCTGCATGAAAAGCCGTAACTAGCTGTACTGCACTGCTGAAATACCTCCATTTCTGGAGGAGAACAGACAATTGTTTAATAAGCAATATTACATGATGTTGAGAGTCTGCACGCTGCATCTGATTAGTGCCGTCCTGCTCTGCCTTAAGATCCTCCTTTGTTGGTTTTCTTTTTCTCTGCCTTAAATGGCCACAGTGGTTCCATCTGTACATTTTGTCTGTCAGGTATCTCCTGGTCAATCAGAGAGACAGCGTCCAGCAGCACCACTTCCCTGGAGAGCCGAGATTCCAGTCTGCCAAAGGGCTCTTCCTCCTATACGGCTCTTCCTAAACAAGCCTCTTCCTACTCCCTAAGCAACCTATTCAAAGGTGAGCTTCTTCCTACATAGTTTGGACAAATGGGCTTTTCTTCAAGAGTCTCAAGAAGAAATCATTTTATCTTAGCATTTTCTGCAAAGCGTATTGCAAAACAGGAAAGGTCTGAGCTCTTTGAGGGTATACCTTGAGGTAAATTTTCTAACTGGTGTATCTGGTACTGGTCAGAAATTGGAGACGGTGCTTGTCTTTTGCAGAAGAAGATAGATAAACTTTACTGAGGAGACTCTGTAGCTTCTTGAAACCCAATTTTCATGGAGTTGCAATGGAGAGCATAGCACATTACTGCTACCTGTTTTCATAATGGAAAGGAGCAGGCCATAGAGGGATTGGCTGGAGCCATGTAGCCTGCATTTAGTCCTCAGTGATGTGGGAAGACAGCCTTATTATTCTTTACTTGGAGCTTAGGTGGCTGATGTTGACATTTGCAGCTCATTCAGCAGCATATGCCACTTGGCAGTAGCAGTGGTAGCCCAGCAGCTTGCAAGAGTTCAGCTCTGCTGTCTTGCAGCTAGAGAATCAGTCAACCTTTGTTCTTTCTCTTTTTCTGTGGTGCTTTTTACTCACATCTTTGATAACATAGTGGCAATGAACAGTGTCAAAATTACAAAATCAGCCCTGGCAAATGAGGTTTCCCTGTGGTGCTGAGGCCGCTGTAATGCTGTGCCCACAGGCCTCTGTTCTGCAGGCTGCCTAGCTGCTTCTGGCCTTGGCCAAAACACGGTGGATAGGGCCAAGGTGCCACATAGTTTGTGGCATCACAAACCATCTGAAAGCCTTAGACTGCAAGCAGTTGAGGCTGAGGTGTGACAACATAGTGCAAATCTTTGTGCAGAGTGGCTTGTTCTAACTGGATTGTAGTCTAGAGCTATGTTTGTTTTCATTTCAGGGCGAAACAAGCTTCCAAGTTTCCAGTCCCTTTCAGATGGTACGTCTGAATCTTTGCCTTGTTTTGGAAGGGGTATAGTATTGCATAAAAGGTTTGTACCCTGAGCATTTCCAAAGAAGGGGTGGTGTCATCTTCCTTATATTGCAGAAAGGGAAGCTGATTGATATGTTTGCTAAAGTCACCCAGCAAGCAAGCAAAATACTTGACATGGTGGTTTGGGAGCTATATGTAAGTGAAGAGTATTGGGTTAAGTTCTAAACCAAAACCTCTTCATTTTGTGTTGCCATTTGATGCTTGAGTTCAGGTCATCTACCAGAGAAACTAAGAAAAGTATGATTTCAAAAGTGAGTGAATCAGGATTTTGATGTTGCTGCTACTCATTGCTTTGTCTTTCTCTCCCAGCCCTCTCTGACACAGGGGTTAAAAACTACGCTCCGGAGTTGCGCAGACCGAAAGCTGAGTACAAGGTGAGTAGCTTGTGTTTGCGATGCGGAGACCAGAGCACTGCCAGAAGAGCTGCCTACCCTAAAGGTTTTAGGGGAAGTGATTACTCAGTGTTTCAGATAGCAGAGGGCAATGCAGGGGATAGGACAGGGAGGTGCAAGATGTAGAACCAGCGTTGGTAATTTAGGCATTCTCTGCTTGTGCCCAGGAGAGAGGAGCTTTGGTTCCGCAAGAAGGGTTATTAGTTGTTCTTTCTCTTAATGTCTTGCCCATGAGTCTCTGTGAAAGGAACTCTTAATAATGCCTTGCCTGAAAGCTCCTTTCATGCTGGATCAGATGCATTGGCATCATTTATATTCCTTAAATGAAACAGAAATCTACAGCCTTCTAAATCCCTTGTTCATGAATCACAGGAACACCCGGGTCAGGGAGAGCACAAAGATGGAGTTCCAGTTGGCAGGAATGTTCTTCTCCCAGGTAGGCGGTATTAGGTATTGCCAAATCTCATGGGTTTCAGCAGCCAGTGGGTTTCTCCTGTCCAAGCCTGGTCCCTTTCTCCTGAGCCAGGTCCAGCCAGTAACAAGGCTAAGCTCATTCCCAGTAGGCATGTACTGGCACGCATACATGCTGCTAAAACACTTGGCCACACAGATCAAGAAAAACAAAACAAAACACAGTGTATTTACCAGTAGACACACATCCATACAGAACTGAGGCATCATCTCGAGCCTCGTCTCCATTCAGAACTGAGCTCCCCTAGCAGGCAATGCTCACACCATACAGGCCTCTCCAGTAGCTGGCACCTGGGTGCTCAGACTTGTTTTCTGTTGTGCCACTTTTGTTGCTGGTGCTTGGACCACTTACCCTGCTCACTGGCTAGGTGACCTAGAAGTTCACTAGCATTTGCACACACACACTTGGAATAGAAAAGCCATTCACACGCCAGATTACTAAAAATAAGATTTAGTAAGAGTGTAAGATAGTGATCGAGTGCAGGGCTCAATCAGACAAGCATACAACAACAGATAAGCCCCCTGTTTATGCTTGACTGGTACCCATTATTCCTTTTTCCCACTATTTTCACTTTTTTGTTCCTTCCAAATTTACACTAATTGCTCCCTCTCTGTGCTTTTTGTCCTTGCTATGAGCATCTTGTAATGAGAGTCATGTATTCCTATAATCCTCTTATAACATCCCAAGTTTCTCTTTCCCCTGCATCTGATCTTTTACATCTTTAAAGTTGTAACGTGTTTGGGTGTTTGCAGAGAGTTTCTTTGGTTTCCTCATATTGACAGGTTTCATACAAGGGATGAGGAGCTAATCTGTCATGTCAATGGTAGATGGGTGTAGCCACATCAGGCGTGCTCAGTTTACACTGATTAGGTTGCTGGGATTCTTCCTCCTGTCTATGGTCATCTGATCCTCACTAGATCCGTGTGTTTGTGGTGATTACTCCTTAACCTAACAGGCAGAGCTTCCTGAAAGTGCAACAGAAGAAATAAATGCTCTGTGTTGTGTCCTACTCTGTGCTCTAGTGCTTTCAGGAATAGTGAAACAGGAAGGAGGGGATTTTGCATAGCCCCATTAAAGCAGGCAGGAATATGTAAGTGGAGTGAAACGGAGAAAGAAAATCCAGTGTCAGCTTTGAAACAACGTCCTGACAGCAATGGGCTGAGGCGCTGCCTTTGGCCAGAGGTGCTGCAGGGAGCCCCAGTGCTCAGGACATTGATACTTAGCGATGTAGTGACTTCAGAGACTCATGCAACAGTCTCCTGATGGGAGAGGACTGGGCAAGGCTTTTACTCCCCAGATCTGTGATTTCAGTAAATCTTTATTTTAATTTCAATATCCTGAAAGCTGCCTTTGTGTATTCCCTTTTTCTGTCTCTTTTGAGAGAGACAGAGTACTGTAATATGACCACTTTTTCTGGGGCCTCACATAGATGCCTGCTTGGAGTCTGAGTTTGAGCCTGGCTTGATCCACCCATTATTTGGTGTTTCCAGATCCTGGTGTCTTCAGGGAAAGTGCTTTGCTCACTGCAGCATCTGTAGCATGTTGCCTGAGGATAGGCTAGCTACAGACCTCAGTGCTGTTGTCACATTTGACTAGTACTGTGTGATTGCCCAAGCACTTACCTAAGGCTGCCAGCCTTGTATTCTCTGCTGTGGAGAGATGTGTCTGAGTTGTAGTAAGAAATTGAGCCCTTCTCTCTTGTTCTGGACTTGTCAATTTTGCATGTATTTTGTTTGTCCGTCTGAAAACAACCTTGGACCTTCAATTTGCAAGAAGGATACCCTGTTGAAATGCACTTCCTGTAAAAGATATGGCTATGGACCCTGTCCAGGCAGTAGGAAAACTCTCCTTTGGCCTCTCAGCCTCTAGTATTCTCCACCAGCATGCAGACTCAGAGTGCACAGCATTCCCACCTGAGGACTGTAAAGATTCATCAAACCTAATGGTCTCCTTGCGGCAGCTGAATGAGAAGTCCGAGAAGCTCTGCCTAGGTCTGAACCTTCCCTGTGCAGGGTGCCCTTTGGGTAGGGCAGGACAGCATGCAGGCCTGTCCTTGAGTTTCTGAGTTTGGCTGTCCTGTCAACAGAGACTGTTCCTGGCCCATTGCTCTGGTCCAGCATAAATGAAAGCCATTGTGAGAGTAATCAGGCCTCTGGAGGCTCAAAAGTCCTGTTTTTTTTTTTTTTTTTTTTTTTTTGTGGCAGGATTACAGCAGTGACTGGAGCCCCAAAGATACTGTCAGGCGAATGCAGAGGGGCAAGGTAAGGACCTTTCTCTTCCATCTGCTTGCAGGAGAGGAATATGGGTGCTCTCGAACTGCTTTACACCTTCCCCAGTGCTCCAACTGTATGCAAAGGCAGGAAGGGGCTCGCTGTTGCTTGCAGCATTTGCCAGGGAGTGTGCTGGGCCTGTCTATTGCTTTGCTAGGTGGCAGAACTGAGATCACCCTGGGCCAAGGAGCCCTGCAGGGTTTTCTTGGTTTGTTACTTGTGTTGTCCCCCTCAGCTAGGCTCTGGCAGAAGGTATCTGTGCACCTGTGCTCTTCCCTGCCCTTTCCACTCCCTGAGGCTGTGGAAAAAAAAATCCAAGACTGTGGGACTTTACTTCTTTTCTCAGTGATGGCAAATGGAGGGAAGAAAACAAACATTCTTCATTACACTGGAGCTGAAATCTTAGTCTCATCTCCCCAGAGTTTGCAGCAAGCACATAAGGAGCTTTGCACAGAGATAGCCCCCAGATCTCCATATCCCTTTGCAGTTGCTATTGATGCTACTTTTCCTTACCAGCTGCCATATGTTTTATTCTGCATGTGTCTCCTGAAATGGGGGAAATGGACTAAAGGCTGAGATAGATGATAATTATGGGATAAGAGGAAGGAAGTAAAAGTCCTACAACTCCAATCTTCTCATCCGCTCCATGGAAAAGACCCTACAGAGTGTCCTCCCTCTGTCAGGCTGGTATTTAGGGAGTTTGGCCTTGTTACAAGGGTGCTCAGGAGAACTCTGCATGCAGAGCGTTTGTTCTCCTGGCCCAGATAGTAATGAGAGCTAATTTTGTAACCCCTGTGAACTGATTCCCAGGGATCATGCAGTGCATGGTGTTAATGCATGAAAAGTTCTCCTGTGGGTGGAAAGAAAGTTATCCTTGTCGCTGAAGGGCTCAGGAGGGAAGAATGGGTAGGATCTTGGGGCTTGGTTCAGCCTGGGGACTTGCTTGATTTCCTCTTTACCATATTTTACCTCTTCTGACTCCAGGTCTGCTCTCTAGAGAGGTTCCGCTCCCTGCAGGACAAGCTGGTGCTCTTGGATGAAGCTGTGGCAGGGAATGATGGAAATGTCATTACAGCTGTGAGTCCTGCTGGGGCCATATACATATAGGGCTGGGACTTCCTTGGTGACCCCACAGAAGGCCTTTGTGTGAATGCAATGAACTGGCCATTTAATGCTGCAAGATGAAGGATTGTTCTTCACTTAAAACCAAGAAT